TTGACCACAATGACAGAACTGAGGTTCTCGGAGGTGGTATGCAAGTCTCAAAGGCCTTGCCACGAAAAGCCATGTGAATGGGGTTCCATTGCTAATGGTAAGTATTGAGTATTCAGAAGGTGACTTTCTCCTCCTTTCTGTTCCACCTTTCTACTGTTGCAAAATGAATCACCCCAAAACTTCATGGGTTAAGACACAGAGCTCACTTTAGTACAGTCATGTGTTTAATGTCAGGGATACATTCTGAAAAATGTGTCCTTGGCAGTTTCATTGTTGTGTGAAAGTCAGAATTGCACTTTCATAAACCTAGGTGGTATAGCCTACTACACATTTAGGTGATACGGTTATAGCCTATTGCTTCTTGGCTATAAACCTGCACAGCAAGTTACTCTACTGAATACTAGAGGCAGTTGTAACACATTGCTGAGCAATGGTGCGTATTTGTGTATCTGGATATCTATTGTTTTGTTGCTGTTCTTTTAAGAGACAGGGTCTTGCTCTGATGTTCGGTCCAGTCTTGCACTCCTGGATTGCTCCAGCAATCCTCCTACCTCGGCCTCCTGAGTGGCTGGGACTATTGGTATATAGCACCATGCCTGGCTAAATATATAAACATAGAAAAGAAAGGCACATAAATAAAAATACAGTATAAAAATATAAAACATAGTATACCTAAATAGGTACTTAGCTTGAGTGGGGCTTGCACGACTGGAAGTTGCTCCGGGAGAGTCAGTGAGTGAATGGTGAGTGGATGTGAAGGCCTAGGACATTACTATTCACTACTGATGATTTGACAAACACTGTACACTTAGGCTATGCTACATTTTTCTAAAAATTATTTCTTCAATAGTAATCTCAGCTTACTATGTAACTTTTTAACTTTATAAACTTTCGATATTCGTAATAGCTCTTAGCTTAAAACACAAACTATACAAAAATAGTTTCTATAAAGTAGCTATACAAAAATATTTTCTTCCCTTATATTCTTATTCTAGAAACATTTTTCTACTTTTACAATTTTTATTTTACTTTGTAAACTTTTTTTTTATTAAGAACTAAGACACAAGCACACACATTAGCCTAGGCCTACATAGGTTGGGATCATCCATCTCGCTGTCTTCCGCCTCCCCATCTCGTCCCACTGGAAGGTCTTCAAGGGCAGTAACGTGCATGGAGCTGTCATCTCTTAAGATAACAATGACTTCCTCTGGAATACCTCCTCAAGGACCTGCCTGAAGCTGTTTTACCATTAACTTTTTTTTTTTTTAACAAGTAGGAGTACACTCTAAAATAGTGATAAAAGTATGGCATAGTAAATTCCACTAACACAGTCATTTATTATCATTGTCAAGTACTATGTACTGTACATAATTGCATGTGCTGTACTTTTATACAACTGGCAGTACAGATTTGTTTTTCCCAGCACCACATAAACATGTAAGTGATATGTTGTTATGATGTCACTAGAAATTTTCAGCTCCATTATAATCTTACGGGACCGCCATCGGATATGCCATCCTCATTGACTGAAACGTTGCTATATGGCACATGACTGTATTATCTCTTACAGCTTCTGTGGGTCAGGATTTCAAGAGTGGTTCATTCAGCTGGGTGATTCTGGCATTGAGCTTCTCATAAGTTATTACCAGATAGTGGCTGAGGCTGAGTCCCAAAGGTATCCGCACTTAATGTGCCTGACCTCTAGGCTGGAAAGACTCAAGCCAGGGCTGGGTCTTCCCTGGCACATCTCCTCTCTCTCTCTCTCTCTCTGATCCACCATGTGGTCTTACCAGCACGGAGGCTTCAGATCATCTCCTTTTCTCATACGGCAGCTCAAGCTGCAGTGCAAGTGAGAAGAGAGAGTGAGAGAGCGAGAGCGAGGGAGCGAGTCGCTCCCCATTGCCTCTTCTAAGCTAGCCTCAAGCTCTGCAGCGTCACTTCTGCCACAGTTCTGTTTGTCCAGCAGTCTCAAAGTTCTGCTCAAGTTCCAGGGAAATTGCTGTAGACCCTACATCTTGATAGCAAATGTGTCCAAAAAAAAAAAAAAAAAGAAATGACAGACATGTTTGGAGACCAACACACTTCCCACATCCACATCTGGACACTGTCCTTGCCCCCCATCCAGGATCACCCCTCCTGCTGACAGTTCAGAACCCATCCCAGGACTCCTTTAAGGCCAGAGCTGAAGGTCATAAAGGTCTGGAGGAGCCTGGGTAGAGACAGTGAGGACTAGCCTTGGGATAGGCAGCCTGTCCTCCAGGTCAATGTAACCCATTCCCATTTCTAACCATGTGTGTTCAGGCCCCAGCTTTGTGTTTCTCATCATCGCATGGTCTGCAGGCATGCAGGCCCAGAGAAGTTAAGTAAATTAAACTCACACAGCCCAGCTGTGTGGAGTTGGGGGCTGGAGCTGTCTCACCTCAAAGCCTACGTGCTCCCTGGCCTTTTCTGGCAGTATGTGTGTTTGGGAGGTGGGCAGAGGCAGGCAGCACAGCTCAGTGGAAGGGGAGAGCCCATTCCTCCTCCATAGCCCCTGTGTCACTTACACTCAGATACCATGAAAATAGGGGCCACAGAAATGCTGTGAAGGACAGGCAGCCGGGGGAGAGGGGTGCTTTTGGCCCCATCATTCTATTTTTCAGCCACAAAATAAAATCCTCTCTTTACCTTTACAAAGAGAGCACACCAACAAAGAGTGTCTTGGGGATCCCAGGATTCATCTGTAGGCACAAAGCTTGGGGTACTGCGCTGTCAGCTTCTGCTGGTGGACTGAAATTTCAGAGTGAAGATGGGAGAGATGCGCTTCAACTAATGACAGTAATAGCTGCCACGATTGAGTACATAATAAGTGCCAAATAAGTGCTGCGTGTACATCATCTCATTTAACCCTCATCAAAGCTCCTGAGGTCAAGATTGTCAGCCTCATTTGTAAATGGAGAAACTATGCCTCAGAGATGAAGTACACTGCCTTTTGATCACTCAGTAAGTGGCAGGACAGGGATTCAAGCTCAGGATTGTCTGCCGCTGAAGCTCAGCTCCCCAACACTGACTCTGTGCCTGGGACAGCCCCACATCAGAGCCCCCATCCCACGCTACATCCTCAGCATTTCAGCAATGCACTCTGCTTTTACATAATAAATATTCATTGAAAATATTGGTGCTACAGATGCTGGCACAAGCTGCTGAGATACCATGCTGTGTCCTGGTAATTAAACCCTTAGTTGCATTGTCATATTCACAGTTGTCAAGGTCCCCAAACATCCATCTGAATTCAGATGGGAGGTGAGAAGAACACGTGTGATGCTTTGGAGTGTGTACAGATTTCTATTTGTCTGCAGGTTTCTAATCCCTGCATGGATAACCCTTCTTTATTTTCCTGGGCAATTCTTGCAATTTTTTTTTTTCTAAATCAACACTCAAATTAGCCAGAGAAGTCTAAATACTGTTTTTCTCCATCACAAACTAGTTCAGAAACAACATTGGTGCTGTTTTAGGTATTGGAAAACTCAAGGAAGGAAGGAGGTACCTGGGTGAGGTTACTCAAGGACTCACTTGATTTTTAATTCAGTATTATGTCTGATATCAGGAGAGTAATCTCTCCTCAAATTTGATTTTTTTTTAAGTGCTAGAATCTGAAAATTCCTTCTCTGTTCCTTTTATGCAACTGTATAAAGGAGACATAACTGCAGGGTGGCATCTTTAGGATGTGAGAAGGAAAACCAAGAAGAGATGAACATTTGGATGGGGAGTCACCATGGGAAAAAATGGCTGTTAGTATAAAGTGTTGAGAAAGAAAGCAAAGACAATTCAGATGCCTTGTTGAAACTCCAAGGGCCAAAATCCTGAAAAGTTAGGGTTAGAGAAGGCATAATGTGTAAGGATCAATTATTCAGCATCTTTTATTGAGAATTGTAGCATGTTCCTTTTTGGCATTCAGTCTTGTTAGATTATTTTAGTAAACACAGAATGCTCATACAATTGGTCACAGGCTCATTCCTGACTTCAGTTTTTCCTAACTGGTTTTCCATGATCCATGCTGCCCCTCCACCCGGACTTGCATATCACCACCACCACTTCAGCTCTTCTGCAGCAAATTCTTCTCTTTGGGGCTATATCCAGGAGCTTAAGCCTACAAGTTGAGACGGAAGTAATCCATGCAAACGTCTTTACCTAACCTGTGAGATGAGCAAGATACCTCTGCTGTGTACCAAGTACATATTCTACCAACTATGTTGAGTATTGAGTTAAATGAGGTATGGCCTTTGTCCTCAGGGAGTTTGCAGACCAGCTGGAAAATAGACAATTTTTGTCTTGTTGATTTCTAGCAACATACCAAAGTTAGGCAAGTTGTTTTGATTTCAAGTGACAGAAAATTCAACTCAAACTGGTTTAAATCAAAATAGAGGAGAGATGGGATAGAATAGGTCACACACTCTTAAAATACAGAGGTATCTGGCTTCAGGCATGAGTGGGTCTGGACATTCACAGGAGAGCATCATATCTGCTCACTATTTTTGTGGTGGCGAGATGGCTTCTGGCTACCCTGAACAACTTAGCAATCCCAGTAGGTAAATAGTTATTGGGGTTTTGAGTACTTAGGCATTTCTGAAACAATTGTTGTGGTCAGAGAGACTGAAGATATTTACCAGCCTGGCCTGGATCAGATGCCCGTGCCTAGAGCTGGGAAGAGGGTCAGCCCCATTTGTATGACATGATCTGAGAGTTGGGGGAGGAGAAACTTCCAACAGAAAAATTTGTTACCTAAAGAAAGGACCACAGAAGGCAGGCAGTTAAACATAAAGAGTTCTTCTATGCACATAATGAATGGTTTATTCCACACAATATCCTTAGGTTAGCCGGGCATGCTCAAGGGATATCGTTAATCAACAGCATTGCCTTCTTCTGGACAAGCAATGTCCCTTCAGTCCAAGCCAGTCTGGATTAAATAGACCATAATTGTAACCCACAAAAATCTGACCTGAATTTGTTCTCCATTGCAGTGACCTGGACAGAAATAATATCACCAGGATCACCAAGATGGACTTCGCTGGGCTCAAGAACCTCCGAGTCTTGTAAGTAGTTGATAGCTCTCTGGTGCATTTTCATTTTTAGCTCTTCAGCCTCACAAAAAAAAATAAATGTTCCATTGCCCCTGACATCACACTCCCAAGCCCTGGACAACAGGAATTCACATTCTGCAGCAGAAAGCCCCTCAGTAGTGTACTCGCATGCTCACAGGTATCACATTCCGTGTCTGGATGCTGCTGGCCAAGCTAGATTGATGGAAGAACTTAGTTCCAGTGATAGGGAAAGCGGAAGGCTATGAACAAATAAATCAACATGCCCAGCTTCTAGGATGACAGCAATGTCAGATTGACTAACCATGCTTCCCTTCCATAGAGATTATGATTTCTTCTCCAGCCTGTGCATTAAAAGAGCAATCAGGACAAAAGTTATTTGTCTTGTAGCTTAATGGAGAGGAGGGGAGGAGACCATCAGAAAGGGTCAGAGCCCTTGTTGAACACCCACAGCTGTGCAGACAGGTAGCAAAATTTGAGATGGGCATTGATGGACTAGGGGAGCAAGGAATATTAGGTTTCATTGCTGAATATTGAAAACTTTCATCCATCCTTAAGTCTGTGAGTGATAAGAAACTTCCCAAGTGCTTGTCCGTTGAAAAGTCGAAGACATTCAGAGACGTACAGGAACAAGCAATTTAGATCTTCTTTTTCTTCTTTACTTGGTGGTTAATTTTGACCCATAAAGCATGGCTCCAGACAAAAAGTACAGCCTGGGCCATTTGGTCACTGCCTTGGTATTTGTATGCCATGGAATCTTGGCTGGCAAATTGTTACAAGAAGTAACAGCTAAAGTCTTGATACCTGAAGCTACCTCCTTTTTACCAATAGCCCTATATAATAAACAGAATGAATTTTGTACTTGGGACAGCAAGCACCAGGTTCTGGTCCTGATTCAGAATTAGCTACCCATGAAACCTTGGGCAAATTACTTTTCCTCCATGGGCCTCAGTTTTCTCATCTGCAATACAGGGAATATGTAGTTAGAATTATTTTCAACTCTCATAGTTACACATGTGGTGCTTCACAGTTTTAACATTTTCTGATTATTCTCACGACTACCTGTGAAGCATTAATTTCACAACACTGTTTTTCTTTTCTGATTGAGTTGTTAGTAATGATGATGATGGACATGATACTTTCATGGGCTCAGTGTGATATTACATAGTGGTAACATACAAGGTGGGCAGTATGATAAGCCCCTATTTGTAGCAGAGGCAACAGAGGCGTGGATAGGTGAAGTAGTCCCACTTCCACATAGCAGGTGACCGAAGGAGCTGGAATTGGAACCCAGACTCTGTGCTCTCTAACCTCCATGCGGTGCCACTGTGCATTTGTGTTATACAAAGCTGAGAAAACTAAGGCAGTGATAGTCCACCCATTTTGTAAATGTAACACTGATAATTTGGGGGCTTTTCTGAGCTGCTCTTGTGTACTCATGTGTAGGGACGTGGGGATCTGAATGCTGGGCCTCTAGCTTGCAGATGCTCTCCGCGCCAACATGTTCTCCGTCTTTGGTCTCTGACACTCTCCTCTCACCACCCTCAAAGGGAAGGCACACCCTGGGCCAGGTCCTTCTTTTGCTCCGGCAACCATGTGTCTGTCAAGTGACTGGTAGTTCTGACAAGGTATGGGAGGATCAGAATCGAGATTGGGATAAGGGTGGGGGAATTCCATGATTCAGTTTTAGGATGATTGTTATTGAACAGGTATAGGTAGGAACTGCCGATTGTATGTCATTTTCCAGGTTAAAAAATACATGCTTGTTTACCTTCTCTCTTTATTTTTTTAAATTTATTTCCTCTGCGTCTGTGAGAGATTTCCTTTTATGCAAGTTAGATATTTCACCTAATGCTTCATCTTCTAACAAAGTCAAAAACAACTCTTGATTTTCTTAGCGTTACATCAGAAAGACTAATAAAAATTCCAATTTTCGTATCTGCTCTCTGCAAGTATAAAGTTTAAAATAATCACAAAAGATTGTTTTAATGTCCCCTGGATGGTCTGCAACATTCCTTTGACTACAGTTTATCTTTTCAGTTAATTGGTACATTCCCCTTATTTTGATAAGCAATGCCAGAAAGCCTTCCCCTCCTCCCCCCGTTAGACTATTAATATACTCTGTTTCATTATCTTCCTTATCAACTCAAAGACAATCCCATTCAAGTGGCCCTTTATTACTGTGAAAGAATCTGCCTGGTGGAATAGCTGAAATGCTTTCTAACTAACACCAATAAAATATCCAGACATTTTTACCATATTTTTCTTCAATCTATTCTTTTTAGCTGAGTAACCTAGACAACTATCTTTTTTGAAAAGATTTTTTTCACACCTTGGCACATTCCCCATATCTGTTTCTTATTTACAATTTCTAGAGAAGCTAGAAAAGATTCAGTAGTCTTGAATAATTTGCCACCCATTTCTATGTCAAACTGTTAAAATGGGCAAAAGCAGATAAAACAGAGATTAAAGAACTTCAGTCTCAACCCAGAGCAATTTTCCTCAAATGAAGAGCATTTAAGGAGAAGATAGAAGAATTGCCCAGGACAATTTTTTTTTTCTTCCATGGGTGGGAGTAGGAAAAAGTCTCTTCTGGTGGTATCAATTATGTTCCATTTCTTAGTAGTCCGTTTAAGGGCTCTGCTATGCTCACAATGTGGGACCCAGCTTTATCCCAAACGGGGTTAATAAAAAAGTTAAACTCAGCCCCAGCCATCATCATCACATGGAGGCAATTTCCCATCCTGATCCAGTGATAAAACTAAAAAAAAAAAAAAAAAAAAAATGCCAAAAGAGCTGAAAATGAACACAGGCTCTGTTCTTCTAATTCGGAACAGACTCCAGCCATGGACAGCCCTTCTGGATGTCCAGCCCTTCCTGGATCCTCTGTCTGAAAATGCGGGAAAGATATCGATGGCTTTATTGCATCCTCCTGGCCTGCATCTCAGCCCAGAAATCTGGATGGGAGAGTCTTAGTTCATTCACTCATTGATTCATTTATTCATCAAATATTGATGGTTTATTGAGCCTCTGAGTGCCAGGTTCTAGGCTGGACTCTGAGGGATCTAGGAAGCAGACCTTGAAGTGAAGTAGATACCTGGTCAGTGAGGGTCCCAGCAGGAAAGAAGGCAAATGAGGACAGCGAAGTAAAGAATCGTTTACAGAGATGTGGGCAAAGTTAAGAGAAACCTAGGGAGGAGATACTGCAGTTCCTTGAGGCTGGAGTCAAAACGGAGCCACTACTGTCCCCTGGGCCTCGAGGAGCCCAGAGAGGGAGTAGTTATCAGAGCCTGGCAAAAGTCGGGACTACCTCACAGAAGTTTTGGTCTTAGGTAGAGGATGCAGTCAGCCTGAAGTGGCTTGGCAGGAATAGAGAATGAATCCCCCAACCACGCTCTTCTTCTGCCCTCTGATCTCCTTCTGGTGACTCTCACTGGCCGAACCTGACAGGAATCCAGAAGTCAAAAAGCTGCTTGATGGTCTTGATGGCTAGGTGCGGCGGCTCATGCCTGTAATCCCAGCACTTTGGGAGTCCGAGGTGGGTGGATTGCTTGAGCCCAAGAGTTCAAGACCAGCCTGAGCAACATTGTAAAACCCCATCTCTTAAAAAGAAAACAAAAAATAACAAGAAAAATTTTTTTTCCAATTTTGGAGCATTTCAGATTCCAGATTAGGAATGCTCAATCCATATCGCTTTAGAACT